ATTTCAATTGGTACTCCTTAATTGTCATCAGCAAGTGCTTCAAGTCCTCCTCACTTTCAGCAAGCAAGCTTTTGTTATCTGCATATCAAAGGTCGTTAATACCCCTTCCTCAAATCCTGATACCATATTCTTCTCCATATAAACCAGCTTCTCTGATTATTTGCTCAGCATACAGATTGAATAAGTATTATCACAGGTTATAACCCTGATGCACACCGTTCATGATTTTAAATCATGCAATATTCCCTTGTTCTGTTACCATAAATGCCTCTTGATCCATGTATAGGTCCTGCATACAATGAAGTGTACTGGGATTCGTATTCCTCTTAAGGCTAATCATAGTGTGTTATTGTGTTCGTCTGGGTAGACTAGAGAAACAAATTCATAGACATTCATATGTGTATAAGAAAGAGCTTTAAAAAAAAAAAGAAAGAAAGAGCTTTATATACAAGAGCAATTGATTATTGAAAAAACATCCCAGCCCAGTCCAAATCAAGTCCTTAAGTCTGATATTAGCCCATATGTCCTATACCAATCTATAAAGTCCTTTTCAGATTCACAAAACACATGCAATGATCCTGAATGCAGGACGATCACAGTAGAAAATAGAATGCAGGCCTGTGGGTAGAAAGTCTTCTGGATCCAGTGGTGTTGTTAGCATCTCATTGCTGGTAGGGGTCTCCATGTGGCTCCTTCAGCTCCAGGGCTCTAGCATATCTCCAGGTATCTTCTCCACAGAAATGTCTCATAAGTGTAAGAGTGTGTCTCACCTCCCGTGAGCTATTTATCTCCTTAGCGCCTCCAAATGAGGTCATTAAACTGAGACCTGATTGACAGGCTACCCTCCGCCCCTTCACTCTTCAGTCTCAAATTGACAACAGATTATGTAACTACCACAGTTGTGATCCACACAGTGGAATTTCTTTGTATACTGTAGTCAATGAAACACAAACCTTTTTCTGGTGTTTTCTGCTTTCGGCCAAGGTCCATCTGACATCAGCAATGATATCCCTTGTTCCATGTCCTCTTCTGAATCCAGCTAAGCCTCTGGCAACTTCCTGTCAATGTACTGCTGCAATTGTCGTTGGATGACCCTCAGCAAAAATTTACTCATGTGATATTAATGATATTGTTCTATAGCAAACATTCTCTTGGGTCACTTTTCTTTGGAATTGGTACAAATTTGGATCTCTTCCAGTCAGTTGTCCAAGTAGCAGCCTTATAAATTTCCTGGTATAGATGAATAAGTATTTTCAGTGTCTCAACAACTTCTTGAAACATTTCAATCAGTACTCCTTAATTTCCTGAAGCCTTGTTTGTGGCTAATGCCTTCAGTGCAATTTGAACTTCTTCCTTTAGCATCATTGGTTCTTACTCATATCCTACCTTCTGAAATGGTTGAATGTCAAACTAATTTTGGTACAATTATTCTGTGAAGTCTTTCCATTTTCTTTTGATACTTCCTGCATCATTCAATATTTTGCCCATAGAATATTTCAACATTCCAATTCAAGGCTTGAATCTTTTCTTTAGTTCTTTAAGTTTAAGATATGCTGAGCATGTTCTTCCTTTCTGGTGTTTTAATTCTAGGGTTAAGTACATTTCTTTATACTATTTTACTTTTTCTTCTCAAGCTACCCTTTGAAATTTTCTATTCAGATTTTTGAAGTCATCATTTCTTCCATTTACCTTAGCTACTCTATGATAAAGAACAAGCTGCAAAATCTCTTCTGCCATTCACTTTGATCTTTTCTTTCTTTCTTGTCTTTTAATGACATTTTGTTTTCTTCATATATGATATTCTTGATGTCATCCATAGCTCATGATGTCTTCTGTCATTAGTGTTCAAGGCCACAAATCTGTTTTTGAGAGTTCTCAAAATTCCGCTGAGGTAGATTTAAGGTTGTATTTTGCTCTCCTGGACTTGTTTTCATTTTCTTCATCTTAAACTTGAGTTTACTTATGAGCAATTGAAGATCTCTTCCACAGTCAGCCCCTGGACTGATTTTAGCTGCTGACATTGAGCTTTTCCATTGTCTCTTCCCACAGATGTGGTCAATGTGATTTCTACGTATTCCATCTGGAGAAGTCCACGTGTATAGTTACCATTTTTGTTGTTAAAAAATGTATTTGCTATAAGAAAGTCATTGGTCTTAAAAAATGTGATCTTCAGTTTCATTTCTATCATCAAATCCATCTTTTCTAACTACTGTTCCTTCCATCTTTGTTTCCAACATTTGCATTATTTATCAATTATTTATCAATTCATATTGGTGGCATGTTTGATCAATTTCAAACTGAAGTCATTGGTAAAATTCTTCAATGTCTTTATCACCAGCTTTGCTGGTTGGTGCACAAATTTGAATAATAGTCATATTGGTTGAATTTCCTTGAAGGCAAATAGATATAATCATATCACAAACAGCACTGTACCTCATGATAGATCTTGAAATGTCCTTTTTGTCAATGAATGCAATGACATTCCACTTGATTGTGTCATTTCCAGTATACTAAACCATATGGCTTTCTGATTCAAAATGACCAATACCAATCAATTTTATCTCACTAATGATATCAATCTTTATACATACCATTTCATTTTTTATAACTTCCAGTGTTCATTGATTCATACTTTGTACATTCCGAGTTCTAATTTTCAGTAGATTTTTGCAGCTATTTTTTTCTACCTTGAGTTTTTCCCCATCTGCAAATTAAGATTCTGAAGGTTCCACTTTCACAGCATTATTTCATTCCCATCAGCACGCTTGCCTCTACTTTGAGAAAGCAGCTTCTCTTGACTGTCAGACAAGCCACCACTGATCTCTCAGTTGATCGTACTGTGGTGGCTTGGATGTTGCTGTGATGATGAAATCTATGTCACTGGTATTTCAAAGGTCATTAGGGTCAACTAAAGTCAACAGGTTTCAGTGGCGCTTCCAGACAAAGAACAGACTATAAAGAAGACTATTGCCCACCTCAGAGGAAGTAGCTGCTGAAAACTATGTATAGCATGGTGATTTTGTCAGATACTGAAGGCCTAATGAATAGAAGCATTACAACTTAGAAAATCCTATGAGGCAGTTCTACTGCATCACACAGGGTCACCATGAATTGAAACTGAGTTAATGTTTTTGTTGTTAGGTAATATCGAGTTGATTCTGTCTTGTAGTGACCCTATATACAACAGAACAGAATACTGCCAGGCCCCGCACCATTCACAATTGTTCTTATGTTTGAGGCCATTGTTGTAGCCCCTGTGTCAATTCCTCTCATCAAAGGACTTCCTCCTTTTCACTACCCCTCCACTTTACCAAGCATGAGGTCCTACTCTAGGGACTGGTCTCTCCTGATAACATGTCCAAAATATGTGAGACAAAGTCTCACCATCTTCACTTCTAAGGGGTGTTCTGGCTGTACCTCTTCTAAGGCAGATTTGTCTGTTCTTTGGCAGTGGTACTTAATAAGTTTGTTGTACATGATAAGTTGGTTGGAGCTGATTTATAAGTTCTTCACATCTCCTTAGAAAGAAGTAAGCAGTTTTCTAGCCTTTTAGCCTTGAACGGATTTTCAGTTATTTTCCTATGCATGTCATTGATGAGAAAGTGATCCACGTGGTGGACAAGGATGCCTTGATCATCTACATTTTAAAGATGAATAAATTGGGGCTTTGTGGGACTCACATGATGGCTAAGGGTCCTGTAGATAGGTGGTAAATCAGCATGTGACCCAAATTCAGCAACAACAATGTGTGAGACCAGTCAGAAAGAAGTATGTGATCTGATTAACACTCTTCTTTCTTTTTTCCTTCTAGTAGCTTCTGAATTCATGGTTTGGGGGAGTCGAACCAAACCCAGAACTTGATGGTGCCAAGCATCCAACACTGAAAACTCTCTGAAACAAATTTCCTCCTGCATCTACCCGTGGCTTACTTTTCAAAGGTTCAGCTTGCTTTCTTGTAGTATTAACATTGATGATCCTAAATTGCTAAGAATAGAAGAGATGAGTGGGCAGCTATGAAGAATCAGACAGGTGATTTAAACAGTAACCGGGAGGTGTGGGGGTGGGATAGCAACTACTCACAGAGGAAAGGAATCCAGGTGACCTTAACCTAAAGGTTAGTGATTCCCACCTACCCAGTAGCTCCACAGAGGAAAAGGTCTGGTGATCTCCTGGAAAGGTTATTGCCAACATATTCCTATGGAGCAATTCTTCTCTGTAACTCATGGAGTCATGGCTGACGCTTGGTACCTCACAGCAATTGCTAGGTGAGGCAGAACTCCAAAGTAGCTATGCAAATCAGAAATACCTTTTGTTGCCTTCTGGGAGCAACACAAAGATAATTAATAGATCAGGGGGAAATCGTATATGTTCTGTACATTTAGGTTTAGAAGATGTGGCTTCCAGTCTTGTAAGTTATCTAGCTGGATCACACCATAAAGTCACAGATGGACAAGGGCAGATGGACCAATAAGGGAATTAGAGAGACACCTGGTCCCTTATTTCATACACAAGGCATTTGAGGATCCTTTAGGTTAGAGTGTCATAATGGGTGATGTGTTGGGCTGTTAGCTACAAGGTGAGCAGTTCAAACCCACCAGCTACTATACCTTGGAAAGGTGAAACTTTCTGCTCCGGTAAAATTCTACAGCCTTGGAAACCCACAGAGGCAGTTTTACTCTATACTATATGGTTATTATAAGTCAGAATCAATTCAATAGTAGTGAGTTTGGTGCGCATTTGGTTATAGGTTAAAGCTGGTGAGAAGTAGAGCCAGGGCCAATGTGATAATCCTGGTACTTTCTGTCTTATATCCTAGAGAGATGATGCTGGAAATAATCTATGCCCAAATTCTTGACCATAGAACTTTACTTCTTTGTGTAATGGGATCCCAGAATTTCAGAATATAGTGCATGAACCACAGGCCTGTTCCCCAGCTTAGCCCCCTAATGTAATACCACACATGCTCCTGAAATCTAATAATTTTCTTTTGATTTTTACAGATGGCTTGCTTGAAGATGAGATGTATATTTATTTTCCTTCTGGTTCTTGGGGCCATTTGCTTATATTTCAGCATGAACAATCTAACTCCTTTAAAAGAAGAGAAGTTTGTTTTCAAGAAAGAGAGTGGGGTCTTCCTCCAGCTCCCGGAAATAGACTGCAGGCAGAACCCTCCCTTCCTTGTCCTGCTGGTGACTTCCTCCCACAGACAGGCGCCCGCTCGCATGGCCATCAGGCAGACGTGGGGGAGAGCAAACGTCGTGGAAGGAAGACAGATAAAGACCTTCTTCCTCCTGGGAGCCACAGCCACACAGCACGACATGACAGCGGTGTCTCAGGAAGGCCAGCGACATGGAGACATTATCCAGAAGGACTTTGTGGACGTCTATGCCAATTTGACCCTAAAGACCATGATGGGCATGGAGTGGGTCCACCACTTCTGCCCTCAGGCTGCCTTTGTGATGAAGACAGACTCGGACATGTTTGTGAACGTCTACTACCTGACCCAACTACTTCTAAAGAAAAACCGAACAACTAGGTTTTTCACTGGCTTTGATATAACGAATGGCCTTCCAATTAGGGATAAGTCCAGTAAGTGGTTTGTCAGTAAAGATGAGTACCCCTGGGACAGGTACCCGCCTTTTTGCTCTGGCACGGGCTATGTGTTCTCTAGTGATGTTGCAAGCCAGGTGTATGATGTTTCTGAGAGCGTCCCTTTCATTAAATTAGAAGATGTGTTCGTGGGGCTCTGCCTGGCCAAGTTGAACATCAACCTGGAGGAGCTTCACTCAGAGCAGACATTTTTCCCATGGAGGTTGTCCTTTTCCATTTGTCGCTTTCACAAAATTGTGACCTGCCATTTCATTGCGCCTCCTGAACTGCTGGTCTACTGGCATGCTCTGGAGAGTTCCCTGGGGAAAAAGTGCCCAATCATCTTACAAAATCCTAAGGGTAAAAAGTCAGGCACCCCATAGTGATTGTTCATTCCTGCCAGCAGTGTGAGAGGGATCGGGGGAAGGAGAACAAGAAGAGCACGGAAAACATCCTTCTGTGTTCCAAATCCAAACTAGAGCAGAAGTGTAGATGTGACCACTGATTCCCTTTTGGTGTCCCATCTAATAACTAATAGCATCTAATAACACCTCTTGAGGACCTTCACACCGACTCATCTCAATGATCAGTGTATGCACAAAGTAGTGGGCATTGCTATCCCTATTTTACAAAAGGGATAACTGACTCAGATAGGCACAACCACCTGTCCCAAGCCTCCTAGCCAATAGAGAGTTGAGGAGGAGGGAAAATCAAGTGCTATCAGGCTCCAATCCACAACCCTGACCCTGCACACCTCTCGAGAGTAAATGGTGACCATAAAGGCTCAGAAAGATAGTTCACTCTCACCAATTTCTCTTTCTAACTCCCTTTCCTTGTGCTTTAATACCATGATGAGGATGCACAAACTAATCAAAACATCCCTGTTGCTCTGGGATATTCTGGCTTGCCTGTAACTCTGTGTTAACATCTTGGCACCACAAACTCTTCAAACCCACACCTCAGAAGATCAGTGTAGTTCCTGAAGCTCTCCTCATGCAGGTCTTATAAATTAGGCTCACCTATCTCGGCAGCCTCAACCTTTGTTAGACTGCTCACAGTGAGCAAGACATCTTCCCTGAGCCAACTATAGGTGTCCAGACTATTGGTTCCCCACACCCTTGGTCTTTGATCACTATGGATCAACTACAGTTCTTGGAACTCTGCCAGTCTCTTAGTTCAAACAAAATGGGAGCTGACTTTAACTGGCAGAGGGTTCCAGCCTACCTTGGGTACCATATGCCTGTTTTCATCTTTGTTTTTGTTTTGTTTTCCTTTTCTCTTCTCTCCCTTTTTCTGTTTTTATATCCTTTGTTTCTCTGCTGTATTAGTCTAGGTACTTTGGAGAAACAAATTCACAGCAACACATGTATAAGAGAGAGTTTTATGTAAAGAAAATGTGTATCACAAAAACATCCCAACCCAATGCTGCCCAAGCCCACAAGTCCAACATTAACCCATTAACCCAACACCAGTCCACAAAGTCCTCCACCTCACAAAACAGAGGCAATGATGCAGACTGCAGGAGGAAAGCTGAGTCAGTGAATGAACAAGCATCTCAGCACTAGCAGGGGTCTCCACATGGCTGCTCCAGCACCCAGGGCTGCATCGGGATAGGTCCATGTGGCTTCTCCTTGGGGATGTCTTGTAGGAAGTCAATCTTGCAAGCTGAAGCAGGGAACTGCTAAGGCAGCTGTACCCTGGTGCAACCATCACAAAACAAGAGACCCGAGAACTAGAAAGGCAAGGCTCACTACCCATTTATCCCTCCGCCTTTCAATTAGCCCCACATGTGATTATTGGCCAGGCTGGCACAATTAACTAACTCATCTGCTCTCCTCTTTTCTTTTATATTTTTTCCTTTTCCCTTCTCTTTTATCATTCCTTAATTTTATTCCTTTTTTATACTCTTCAGTTTTGCTTATTGTATTTTTCCTCATTTCTTTTTTCTTATCTGATTCTCTTGATTTCATTCTTATTTTCTATTTTTTCTATTTAGTGGTCACATTCTTTTTCCCTTGTCATTGTATACCTGCTTTCCTCCAACTAGCCCACAAAGCCAAGTCACCCCTGCACATTACCTACCAGATAAGGGTCACTGCTTAATTCTGAACTGCCTCATGAGCTATAGACCACAACCAACATCAGCCAAACCTACCCTCAATATTGCTATATGCACAGCAAACAGAGAACATAGCATAGATTCATATTCTCTGACACATTCACCAGGAGACAGGTAGTGAGTACCTAAAATTTCACTAAAATGCAATAATAAATTGTGGTAGTTATGTAATCTGTTGTCAATTTGAGACTTACTAGTGAAGGGTAGAGTATAGTCTGTCAATCAGGTCTCAGCTTGATGACCTCATTTGGAGGCGTGAAGAAGATAAATAGCTCATTGGAGGCGGGACACACACTCACTCTCTGCGAGACATTCCTGTGGACATTATATATGGAGCTACACTAGATCCCTGGAGCTGAAGGAGCGAGGTGGAGACCCCTGCCAACACTGAGATGCTTAAAATGCCACTGGATCCACAAGACTTTCCACTCACTGGCCTATGATCTTCCTGCATTCGTCATCATTGCATGTGTTGTGTGAGTATGAAGAGGACTTTATAGATTGGTATTGGACATATGGGCTAATATTGGACTTATGGACTTGATCTTGACTGGGCTGGGATATTTTCCTAATGTACAATTACTCTTTATATAAAGCTCTTTCTTATACACATGAGTGTCTATGAATTTGTTTGTCTCATCTATCCAGACTAACACACCAATTAAGTACAAAAACAACAATACCACCATGCTTCAGAGACAACAGACAATTTCAGTTCACATAGAGAAACAAAGCAGAGTGGTTCAAGCAAGTGACAAAAAATACAAAGACAGAAAAACTTTCTGAGGAAGAAAGAGCATTGGAATTACCTTATAAGGAATTAAAAATAATGATATTTAGGTCATTTCAATAGATTGGGAAAGCTGCAGACAATCTGAAAGAAAATCACAAGCAAATCTTTAGAAAATTTCAGGAAAACACTAAAGGAACAATTTGACAATATTAATGGAAAAACTAGGAACCATAAAAAATAGCTAATAGAAATCCAGAAGATTAATACTAAAAATTCAGAAATGGATAATCATTGTGAGGGCAAAGGAGTAGAAATAAGTCAATGGAACATGAATTAGTGAGCTTGAACAAATCTAGCAATATTAATCTACTGGAGGAATAGTTAGGAAAAGAAAAAACAAAAAACTCTAAAGAAAGCCTAATAGTTATGTGGGATTTGACCTAATTTAAGGAATAACCTCTGTGTGATCAAACTTCCAGTAAAGGAAGAGACAACAAAAACCACAGAGAACATTTTCAAAGAGTTATTGTTGGAAAACTTCCTTCATATCATGGAAGATGAGACAATAGGTATTCAAGAAGCTAAAAGAACCTCAAACAAGACAGATCCCTAAAGAAAATCACTAAGAAATACCATAAATCAAAATTTTCAAAGACAAAGACAACAAAAGAACCTGGTAGCAGCTAATGGAAAATGAAATGTGGTCCAGAAAGGAGGACCAGCAAAACACACCTCTGATTTCTCAACAGAAACCAGGTAATCAGTAAGGCCCTAAGATGACATATATAAAACATAAAAGACACTAGGATGACATATATATTTGAAGGGAAAAAATTGCTTAGCTTTTTTCCTTTTTTTATACTCTTTAGTTTTGCTTACTTTTTTCCCTTTTTAATACTTTTTTTATACATTCCTTCGTTTTTCCTTTTTTTATACTCTTTAGTTTTGCTTCCTATATTTTTCCACATATCTTTTTTCTATCTGCTTCTCTTGATTTCATTCTTATTTTCTATTTTTTTGATCTTCCTGTATTTGGCATCATTGCCAAATGATTAGAAATCATTACCCAGGAAAGTTTTCCCTCAAATATGATGGTGAATTTAAGACATTTCCAGATAAATAGAAATTAAAAGTACTCATGAAAACCAAATCAATCATACAAGAAATAATACAAAGAGTTCTTTGGACAGAAAATTAATATCAGACAACAACCTGAGGTGAATATACATCTCAACACAACCCAGATCTCAGGCCAGATATACAAGTATCCAAATACACACACACACACACACACATTATAAGTGTGTATGTATACATATATATTTATATATACATACATATGAAGGAAAGGTATTAGTTTGTAACCAAAACAATTACAAAATAAAAAGAGAGAATAGTATAATCACAGGACTTCCAAATGGAGAAGAATTCAAGAAGATTCAATTTGGGTGAAGTAGAAGGCAATACATTAAGGATATTGCCCCCCGCCCACCCCAAAATGATGAAGGCACCAGGAGATACGAGGAGGTATGCTAGAATTAAAGGCAACAGAGATAGATACTATAATACTATTATATACACAATCATCCAATAGTGGTGATCAATGAGCAGATGCATGGATTAACACACAGACTGAATTGGTAAAGGAGGGAGAGTGGGAGAATACTCACGTGATAGATAGATGATAGATGATAGATAGATAGATAGATAGATAGATAGATAGATAGATAGATAGATACTTGTATATGGATAGTTATATTTTTTGCAAACCTGTCCATGAATTGGTAGAACATATAGGGCAAAATGTTATGAAAACTTCTTAGACACACACAGCACCTTAAGGGAATGTGTTGCTGGGCCTTGCAATCAGGGGCCATAGTCTTGGGACATACTGAGATCAATTGTCAAGTAATGATTAGGACTATCAAGCTTGTGGGTAGTCATCAAAGGGGAAACTATTGTTTTCTCCATGTTCAGATGAAAGAAATGTGATGAAAAGCAAATGCACTTAGTCTGATAGATTATTGGAAACAATTAGTCCATTGGGCTATTGGACCATAGGACCATCTATCTCCTCAACCCTGAGACAAGAAGAACTAGATGGTGTTCAGTTAACATTACAACTACTCTGCAAGGGAACACAATAGAAGGTCCTAGACAAATGGGATGGAGTCCTGGTGCTGTAGTGGTTACACGTTGTGCTGCTAACCACAAATTCAGCAGTTCCAAAGATGGGGCTTTCTACTCCCATAAAGAGTTACAGTTTTAGAAATCCACAGGGTCAGTTATACCCTGTCCTATAGGGTCACCATGAGTCTCAATCAAATCAATGACAACGAGTTTGTATTTTAGGAGAAAAAAATGTGGAACAAAAACTAGAATCGTGAAAAGGATCAATCTTACCTCTGAAATAGAAAATGGTGGAAACCCCAAGACTATACCCCATAGTCACCTGTCAGTCTAGAACTGAACTCACCCCACAGCTCAATTTTTAGCCAAACTCTATCCATATCTACAAGGGAAATAGTAGC